AGTTTTTCATAGTATTCTGTTATGATCCTTTTTATCTCAGTTGGGTCTGTTGTAATGTCTCCAGTTTCATTTCTTATTTTGGTTATTTGCCTCTTCTAATTTCTTCCTTTTGTCATCTAGCCAGCAGTTTGTCTACTTTATTTCCTTTCAAAGAACCAGCTTCTGGTTTTATTAATTCTTTCTATTGATTTTCTGTTTTCTATTTCATTTATTTCTGCTCTGATCTTTATTATTTCTCTGATAACATCTTCAAAGACCCTATTTCCAAACAAGGTCATGACCACAGGTACCAACAGGTAGGACTTCAACATATCTTTTGAGGGGACACAATTCAATCCATAACAGGGTGAAAATAAATTTCTCTTCATCACTCCTGTCTTGCAGCCACTATGCTCAACCCACTTGAGCTGCACTCAATACAACAATTCTGAGTACACACGCACGTAATCACAGAGCTTGAACGTACATGATGCAAACACTGACAGAATTGCAAAAATAGACAAATCCACAATGATAGCTGGTGATTAAAACATAATGCAGATACCATTAGCCACATGTGGCTATTTAAAATTTAAATTAATTAAAATTAAATAAAATTTAAAATTCAGTTATTCAGTCATTAACCATGTTCCAAGTGCCCAATATATGACTAGTGGCTACTATATCGCACGATGCAAGTACAGAATGATCTGTCATTACAGGAAGCTCTATTGCACAGTGCTGCTCTGGAGGCAACTGCTGGTACCAATCCTTTTATATCTTTCTCTTTAGTTAGCGAAAACTTCTAGGCTATTCTTGTTCGTGGTCATTGGTATCTGGCCTCAGTGATGCACTTGCTGGCAATTACTCAGCCTCTCTAAGCCTCACTTCTCTTAGTATGAAGAGGTGGAATTCCCTCATCACTCAGAGTCTCCCATGTATTTTGTTACAAACCACATTTCCCTTATCGGAAAAATTCCCCTGCATTATGGTTACTTGTCTTCCCTCTCCCCTACTAGGCACATTCATTTTTCTCATTACCACATCCCAACTTCCCAGCACAATGTTTGGCACGCAGTAGGTGCTCAGTAAAATAACGAGTGAGGAAGTAAGTGAATGCCGACCTCAACTCTATAATTATACGATATTTTGATAAATTTTACATCATTTGAACCTATATGAAGTGGTCCTAGGTGCCTGGACTGATCTTTCTGAGTTTCCATCTACCGTAGTCCTTCTCTACTCCCGACTGACCTTTCCAGACCCCCTGTGGGCTTAATCTCACCATTTTCCACCTGCATCCAACCTCCTGCCCCAATTTCTGCTGCTTATCTACCCAATTTTTTTTTAAAATTGTAACATAGGCAGAACACAGTGCTTCACCTGAAAACAAGACGGTGGTAAGATCATACAAGCCCAGCTCCGTGTCAGGAGGAGAGGCTATCATTTCTTGGCCCTTTCAGAGGAGCTGGGGTTTTCTGATGGTTGATTCTGTTATGTTTACTCTGTTAGCTCACCTTTATGTTCGTTTCTTCTCTAGATGGTTGTGAGACATCAATACTGGACTGTTGGGTAACAGTTTTATTTTTACCATAAGGTTAGAAATTAAATCAAAGTTTTAAAAAGCACCATAAGAGAAAAGTTAAAGAGAGATGTGCTTTATGTACTTTGTGAAAATAAATTTAGTAGCATGATAGATACCAGTGGATCCTGGGAGAAGGACCAGCCTAATGTGCTTCAGCACCTCCACCACAAAGGAATAGTCACGAATACCTGGGGTCTTAGGCTTTTATAAGACATTTCATTCTATCTGATGCCTTTTCAGCGTTTGCTGAAGTTGGCAGCTAGGAGAGTTTCACGGAGAAGTACATGAATGCCATCCCATCCATAGTTGAGGGTGACAACCTAACAATCAGCTCCACGTGCTACACTCCTCAGGCCGACTCCTTCTACCTTTTCCTAGATGCTGTCACAGGGGATATGCCATGCCCGGGCATGGTTTTTGGATTGACCATTTTGGCTGTGAGGTTCTGGTGCACAGACCAGGTGATGTGTGTGTGTGCGTACGCGTGTGCATGTTTTAACATGTTTATGTTGTTCTTTTTCTTCTCAGAGAAAAGCTTCTAGTTTCCATTTTGTGATGACATTATACGCACACATTGCTTAAAGAGTCAAACAGTTCTACCAGGCTTGTTATGACAAATAGCTGCCCTGCTATCTTCCTTATTTCTTGTCTCGCAGAGGCAAACACTTTCAGCTCTTTCTGATGTGACTTTGGGATTTATTTCTATTCTCTAAGTCCTTGCACTCAGCGTGTGTTCTGTAGACCATCAGCATGGACGTCACCTTGCAGCTTATTAGGAATGCAGACTCTTCTACCCTACCCAGATCCATTGAAGCAGAATTTGCTTGTTGACATGATACCCAAGTGATTCAGACTGCATGCTTGTATTGCTCCCTCTTGGTTTTTCAGTATCCTATTGGCTTCCCAAAGTGAGAGGCGGTGGATTAGCTCTCTTTCAGCTTTCCATTCTGAATCACACACAAGCCCACCTCCTGTCCTCCCAGGCTCCCCATAGATTTAAATCAAAATTTTTTAAAGAGATAACACTTAGTGCTTCCATTTTATGATTAGTAAATGTGATTCACACCTGAGCTACATCGTATCCTCTGTCTGATTGCTTCTTTTGTACCATAGCTATTTGTTTTTCCTCTAATGAATAATTATCTTAACTTTTCTAATTTTCACATTTTCTTGGTAATTATTATTAATTAAACCACTAGCCCTCTGCAAATTGCCTTAATCTCCATTCAATACCTGAAAACACATCAAGTATTCTACCAATTCATTTTTCTTGCTTACTCCCAGAGCCTTTGGCCTCTCCCAGTCTGGCAAATTGCTCCTGTACTCAATGCCCACCCTTACCCAGAACCCCCTTCACTGCCATCTTTGGAATTCCCTTTGCCTCTCTCTTGGGTTATAGCTCCTGTATCCAGTAGCCCATGTCTTCTTCTTTCTTGATTAACTGCTTCTTTCAGGGCAAGCAAATCCTCCAGTAGCTTCCTGAGAAAGGCATCATAGGAAATAAATTTATTGTGACTTTGCATGTTTGAAAATATCTCCACTCTAACCTTTCCTTAATTGATAGTTTGGCCATGTAAAAACTTCCAGGTTGGAAATAATTTTCCCAAAGTCATAGATCCATTTTCTCCTGACTTTCTTTGTTACTGCTGTGAAGCCTGAAGTTATTCTAATTATTGATCCTTTGAATGTGACTGTCTTTTCTCTGTGGAAGCTCTACTTTCCTTTGTCCTTAGTGTTCTGAAATTTTCCCACAATATGTCTTGTTATGGATCTGTTTTTGTCCATTGTGCTGGGCCTGTTTATTCTGGTAATTGATATCTTGGGTCATTCTGAAGGATTCTTTCTTTGATTTTTTCCATTTATTTTTCTCTTTGGGGACCTTCTGTGTTTGGATAGGAGCTCTGGTGGTGCAGTGGTTAAGAGCTACAGCGAGCTAGGGCTGCTAACCAAAAGGTTGGCCGTTCAAATCCACCAGCCACTCGCTCCCTGGAAACCTTATGGGGCAGTTCTACTCTGTCCTATAGGGTCACTATGAGTCGGAATTGACTTGACGGCAACTGGTTTATGTTTGGATGTTAGATTGTCTGAGCTGGTTCTCTGGTGTTCTTATCTTTTATCCCCATTTTCCATAACTTGGTGTTTTTATTCTACTTTCCAGGTGATTCCCTCAACTCTATCTTCTAGTTTTCTCTGCCTTTGTATTTCTAATTTCCAAGGTCTCCTTAATTTTTGTTTTCTGTTTTAAAGTACCGATTTGTTGTTGTTTGTTTGCTTTTTTGAAGTTTACTTTTCTCTGAATAGTCTTTGTCACCTTTAAGCGTATATTTTCACAATCTTTAACCCATGTTGAATCAACAGTTACTGTGAGTTAGTATGGGATCCAGTTTTATTTTTCTGTATACAAGGAACCAGTTTTCCCAGCATATCTACCAAAGAACGCATCATTTCACCGCTGATTTTCAGAAGCATCTTTTTATTTATATTTCGCCTCTTATCCCCTGACTTGCCTCACATTACCCTTAGATCTGCTTGTCTACTGACAGGGCTCCCCTCCTCACTGTGGTGTGTGTTGTCCCTCTGACTGCTCTAAGTCCTCTATCTAAAAATGCAGTCTTCTCCCCCAGCATTGAATGACAGCGTTAATGGATTTGTCTCTCCAAAGGCAATTAGGCAGAAAAAAGGCATCCCTGTTTGCTAATGGTCCTTGAGAATAAAAATATCAAGAAGTTGTGCCATCTCTCATAGAAATTCCACTTTGCTAGAAAATTCTTGGTCAAGAGATTTGAACAATTTAACTAGGAATTATATGTACTATTTTTCCCATAACTGTAATATTTGATTCATAACTAGATGAGGTTCTCAGAATTATTCTGAAGAAATCTAGAGACAAATGTCTCAGGATTCTACTCTTATGGCTCCCTGACTATGGCATTTCCATGGTGACAGGCTTGATTCCCAAGGAGGCAGTTGCAGCATAACAGTAAAGAGTTACTGATAAGTATGTGGCTTACTTAGTGCCTGAAATATTAAAGTACAACTTAAACACACAACCTGTGGCAGGGAGCAGTAACAAGAACTTTGTACCTGGAGGAGCACATGGCCATTGTTGCTTTGCAGCCTGGAAGCTGTAAACATATAAAGACATTTATTGACTTAGTAGAATTGCTATGCACGAAAGGCCTCACATACATTATACCAAATATTCAGAATGTCTTTCAAGAGATAACCTAACATTAGAGATGAGGAACTTGAGACTCATAGAGGTCAAATACCATATAAGAAGAGTTGGAGTTTGAGTCTTGATCTTACTCCAAAGTCTTTTATTTTCCACTAACTGTAGCATCGTTTCTTATATAACATTAAACCCTGAAAAGAGACAGTCACCTTTGAAATCATCCTCTGGTTGTTTCATGACTATGTCATATTTTTCTGGCAGGTCTCTGTGCAACGCTGCCTCTCGGGCAAGAACATGTCTCAAGTGAAGGCCGCCTGTATCATGTGTGGGTACCTGAAGTTGCTGCCCATGTTCCTCACAGTGATGCCAGGAATGATCAGCTGCATCCTGTACGCAGGCAAGTCCTGAATCCTCTTAGCCTCTCTTTTTTTATGCTTGAATTCTGAGAAGTGTTTTTAAGGTGTCATAAAACCTTGATAAACCAGAAAACCTCAGAATGGAAATAAAAACACAGTTCAAGGTGGAGGGGACAGCTTGTGCAGAATGTCCAGGGAGAAAATTTGGTGTATTTCACACTTTGTTCCCTTAGCTCTTTTATGCTCCCTGCCTGTTGCCTGTAGACATTTGAGTCTGTGAGTCCTGTTTTGGTGAGTGGCCTGGATTTCAGCAAATCAGGAGAATAATGGGAGTCTTTGGGTGGCACAAAGGATCAATCAAAAAGTTGATGGTTCAGATTTACCCAGAAGCTCCTCAGAAGAAAGACCTGGAGATCTACTTCCGAAAAATTGTAGCCATTGAAAACCCTATGGAGCACAGTTCTACTCTGACACACATGGCTCACCATGAGTTGGAATCGACATGATGGCAACAGTTTGTTGTTGTTTTTGGTTTTGGTTATTTCTTTAGAAAACAAGGCAAAAGCGTACCAGAGGATGAGGTAGAATTGGGGAAATATGAGTTGGGAGAACTATGGTGGTTGAGTCCAGTGGCATCTCTGACTTAAGAAGGTCCGGACGGATTATTATGCAACATAGCACTATAAACAAAAAGGATAGAGAACTAGATCAAGCACTGAATGGAAGAAGAAACTAGAGAATAGAGAACGAGAGAGTGCTATGGAATGGAGGTCTTCTGCCAGCTCACGTGACATGGGTTGGCTGTCTTGGAGCACAGCCACCAACAACCCTGGAAAGGGAGTACGGGAAGGCAACTTCATGGAGCTCCCAACAGGAGACAGAGCAGCCGGTAATCAGAGATACACTTTCCCACCCCCTATCCTTCTGCCCTGTATGCTGCTAACACCACTTTCCAGCAGGCCACGGTCACTCAGCCAGAGAGACACCAGCTCACTGCTGCTCTGGGTCTGCCCTGCCCCTAACAGCTGATTCCCTCAGGGCCATATTTTTGTTTTTGTTTCTTCTCTCTTTCCCTTCCTTCCTTTCCTTTCTCAAGCCCCCAGCCCTGTGTGCTGCCCCTGCCCCTTCTCGAAAGGCCACGCCGCACCACTCAGCTAGAGAGCCACCAGCCTCCCATAGTCTACGCTGCCCCCACAGGCTGGCTCCCTCAGGGCCATATTTTTTATTTTTCTTCGTCTTTCCCTTTCTTCTTTTTCCTTCTCCTTCCCACCTAAGCCCTGTACTGCCCCTGCTCCTTCCTGACTGGCTGTACTGCACCTTCCATTGAGAGAGACATCAGCTTGCCACCATCTCGGTTCCACCCTGCTCCCAACAGCCAGTTCCCTCAGTGGCATATTTTTTGTTTGTTCTGTTTTTTTTTGGGTTTTTGTTTGTTTGTTTTTCTGTTTTTGTTTCTTCTTTCTCTCTCCCTTCCTTCTTTTCCTTTCTCCCGCCTACCTAGCCCTGTGCACCGCCCCCACTGTTTCTCAATGGATATGGCACACCGCCTCTCGAGAGAGACATCAGCTCAGTTCCTCCCTGCCCCAAATGGCTGCTTCCCTCTATCTTATTTGTTTGTTTGTTTTTGTTGCTGTTGTTTGTTTGTTTCTTGTCTCTCTTTCCCTTCCTTCTTTTCCTTTCTCCCACTCACCTAGCCCCTTGTGGTGCCCTCACCCCTTCACCACCAGCCATGTCACACCACTCAGCTAGAGAGCCACAGGCACACAGCTTCCTCGGATCTGCCCCACATTCACCCACTGACTCTCAGTGCACAGTCATTTTATTTATTTTTTTCTTCATTTTTTTTCTGCTTCTGTTTCTCTCCTTTCTCTCTCCCACTTAGCTCCACACTTCACATCCTCTCCCTACCCTCCTGCCTCTCTGCACTGTGTGCTGAGTGCCGTGCCCCTGAGAGACACTTGCAGTGATCTCCACAGACCCACAGACCACACCCTGTGCCACCCTCAGCCCTTCCCCGCTGAGTGCTGCACCCCCTAGTGGCACTGGCACAGACCTCCGCATCCTCATGATGAGCCCCGTGCCATCCCCTCACCCCATCCTGCTGAGTGCCATGCTCCTGAGCAGAAGCAGCGCAGAATTCCAGACCCCACCCCATGATTCCCCCCACCCCACCCCACCCCACTGAGTGCTGTGCCCCTGAACAACACTGGCACAGACTCCTGGAACCATAATAAATATCTATGTACCCAATGGCAGGCTCCAAAGTACATAAAACAAACTCTAACAGCACTGAAAGGAGAAATTAACATTTCCACAGTTACAGTAGTTCACTGCTCTTGGTAAAGGACCGAACATCTAGAAAGAAACTCAACAAAGATACAGACAATCTAAAGGCCACAATCAACCAGCTTGACCTAATAGACATATATATAACACTGTACCCAACAGCAGCAAAGGACACATTCTTTTCCAACGCACATGGAATGTTCTCCAAAATAGACCACATCTTAGGCCACAAAGCAAACCTCAACAAAATCCAAAACATTGAGGTAATACAAAGCATCTTCTCTCATCACAATGCCATAAAAGTAGAAAGTAATGACAGGAAGAGCAAGGAAAAAAATTAAAAACATGGAAACTGAATAACACCTTGCTTAAAAACCACTGGATAATAGAAGAAATCAAATATGGAATCACAAAATTCCTAGAATCAAATGAAAAAAACCACATCATACCAAAACCTTTGCAACACAGCAAAGGCAGTGCTCAGAGGCCAATTTATAGTAATAGATGGACACATCAAAAAAGAAGAAAGGGATAAAATCAAAACACTAGCTTTACAATTCAAACAAATAGAGAACAGCAAAAGAAGCCCACAGCCACCAGAAGAAAGGAAATAATAAACACTGAAGCAGAAATAAATGAAATAGAGAATAGAAAAACAATGAAAGAATCAACAAAACCAAAAGATGCTTCTTTGAAAGAATCAACAAAATTGACAAGCCATTGGCCAAACTGATGAAAGAAAAACTAGAGAGGAACCAAATAACCCAAAGAAGAAATGAAATGCAGGCCATTACAACAGACCCACCTGAAATAAAAAGGATCATAACAGAGTCGTATGAAAAACTATACTCCGACAAATTTGAAAACCTAGAAGAAATGGATAAATTTGTAGAAACACACTACCTACCTAAACTACCACAAACTGAGGTAGAAAACCTGAACATATCAGTAACAAGAGAAGAGACTGAAAAGATAATAATAATAAAAAAAATTCAACAAAAAAAAAAGTCCTGGTCAGATGGCTTCACTGGAGAATTCTACCAAACATTCAGAGAAAAGCTCATCTCAGTAGTACTCAAACTATTTCAGAACATAGAAGAGGAGGGGATACTTCCAAATTCATTCTATGAAGGTAGCATAGCCACGATACAAAAACCAGGCAAAGACCCCACAAAAAAAAAAAAATTACAGACCAATGTCTCTCAGGCATATAGATGCAAAAATTCTCAACAAAATTCTAGCTAATAGAATTCAGCATCATATAAAAATAATGAGAATAATACACCATGACCAAGTGAGATTCTTATCAAGTATGTAAGGATGGTTCAACATTAGAAAATCAATCAACGTAATGCACCACATAAAACAAAAAGAATCACACGCTCATCTCAATTGACACAGAAAAGGCATTTGATAAAGTCCAACACCCATTCCTGATAAAAACTCTCAATAAGATAGAAATAGAAGGGAAATCCCTCAACATAATAAAGGGCATCTATACAAAACCCTGGTGGTGTAGTGGTTAAGAACTTGGCTGTTAACCAAAAGGTCAGCTGTTCAAATCTCCCAGCCACTCCTTGGAAACCTTATGGGGCAGTTCTATTCTGTCCTAATGGGTCACCATGAGCAGAATCGACTCGACAGCAATGGGTTTGTGTTTTTTTTTTTGTTTGTTTGTTTATACAAAGCCAACAACCAACATTATGCTCAACAGAGAGAGGCTGAAAACATTCTCCCTGAGAACAGGAGTAAGACAAGGATGACCTTTATCACCACTCCTATTTAACATTGTGCTGGAAGTCCTGGCTAGAGCAATAAGACAAGAATAAAGAAATAAAGAGCATCCAAATTGGTAAGGAAAAAGTAAAACTATCTCTCTTTGCAGATGATATGATACTATACATAAAGAACTCAAAAGATTCCACAAGAAAATTACTGGAACTAATAGAAAGATTCAGCAGTGTAGCAGGATACAAGATAAACATACAAAAATCAGTTGGATTCCTATACACCAATAAAGAAAACTACAAAAGGGAAATCAGGAAAGCAGAATCATTTATAATAGTCCCCCGAAAAATAAAATACTTAGGAATAAATCTAACCAAGGATGTAAAGACATATACAAAGAAAACTACAAAACACTACTGCAAGAAACCAAAAGAGACATACATAAATGGAAAAACATACCGTGTTCGTGGATTGGTAGACTCAACATCATGAAAATGTGAATTCTACTCAAAGCAATCTACAAATACAATGCAATTCTGATCCAAATACCAACAGCATTCTTTAACAACATGGAAAAACCAATCATTAACTTTATATGGAAAGGAAAGAGGCCCCAGATAGTAAAGCATTATTTAAGAAGAAGAACAAAGTAGGAGACTTCGCACTACCTGACCTCAGAAGCTACTATACAGCTACGGTAGTCAAAACAGCCTGGTACTCGTACAATGACAGACACATTGACAAATGGAACAGAATTGAGAACCCAGATGTAAATCCATCCACCTACTGTCACCTGATCTTTGGCAAAGGCCCAAAGTCCATTAAATGGGGAAAAGACAGTCTTTTGAACAAATGGTGCTGGCAAAACTGGATGTCCATCTGGAAAAAAAAAAGAAACAGGACTCATACCTCACACCATACACAAAAACTAATTCAAAATGGATCAAAGACCTAAATACATAACCAAAAACTATAAAGATCATGGAAAAAAGAATAAGGTCAATGCTAGAGGCCCTAATATGTGGCATAAATAGGATACAAAACATAACTAACAATAAACAAACTCCAGAAGATAAGCTAGATAACTGAGATCTTCCAAAAATTAAACACTTATGCTCATCAAAAGACTTCACCGAAAGAATAAAAAGAGAACCCACAGAATAGGAAAAAAATTTTGGCTATCACATATCCGACAAAGATCTAGTCTCTACAATCTATAGGAAAATCCAACATCTCTACAAAAAAAGACAAATAATCCAATTTAAAAATGGGCAAAAGATATGAGCAGACACTTCACCAAGGAAGACATTCAGATGGCTAACAGACACATGAGGGAATGCTCCTGATCACTAGCCATTACAGAAATGCAAATCAAAACCACAATGAGATACCATCTCATCCTGACATAACTGGCATTAATCAAAAAAGCAAAAAATAACAAATGTTGGAGAGGCTGCTGGGAGATTAGAACTCTTATGCCCTGCTGGTTAGAATGCAAAATGGTGCAACCATTTTGTAAAACAATGTGGCCCTTCCTTAAAAAGCTAGAAATAGAAATACCATATGATCCAGCAATCCCACTGCTAGGAATATATCCTAGAGAAATAAGAGCCATCACACTAACAGACATATGCACACCCATGTTCATTGCAGCATTATTCAGAATAGCAAAAAGACTGGAAACAACCTAAGTGCCCATCAACAGATGAATGGATAAACAAACTATGGTACATAACACAATGGAAAACTACACAATGATAAAGAACAATGATGAATCTGCGAAACATCTAATAACATGGATGAATCTGGAGGGCATTATGCTGAGTGAAATAAGTCAATCACAAAAGGACAAATACTGTATGAGACCTCTATTATAAAAACTCATGAAAAGGTTTACACACAGAAAGAAACCATCTTTGATGGTTACCAGGGAGGGGAGGGGAAGAAAAAACACTAACTAGACAATAGATAAGTGATAACTTTGGTGAAGGGTAAGACAGTACACAATATTGGGGAAGTCAGCACAACTTGACCAAGGCAAAATCATAGAAGCTTCACAGACACATCCAAACTCCCTTAGGGACCGAATTACTGGGCTGAGGGCTGGGGACCATGGTCTAGGGGGACATCTAGCTCAACTGGAATAACAAAGTTTATAAGGAAACGTTCTACATCCTACTTTGGTGAGTAGCGTCTGGAGTCTTAAAAGCTTGTGAGTGGCCATCTAAGATACATCTGCTGGTCCCATCCCTTCTGGAGCAAGGGAGAATGAAGAAAACCAAAGAGACAAGGGAAACATTAGTCGAAAGGACTAATGGACCATAACTACCACAGCCTCCACCAGACTGAGTCCAGCACAACTAGATGGTGCCTGGCTACCATCACTGACTGCTCTGACAGGGATCACAATAGAGGGTCCCGGACGGAGCTGGAAAAAAAATGTAGAACAAAATTCAAACTCACAAAAAAAGACCAGACTTACTGGTCTGACAGAGACTGGAGAAACCACGAGAGTATGGACCCTGGACACCATTTTAACTCAGTACTGAAGTCACTCCTAAGGTTCACCCTTCGGCCAAAGATTAGACAAGCCCATAAAACAAACAATAATACTCATAGTTCAACAGTGTATATGAGTCTAAGTGGGTACACCTGCCCAGGGGCAAGGATGAAAAGGCAGGAGGGGACACAAAAGCTGGACAAATGGAAATGGAGAGCTTAAAGGCGAGAAGCAGTGAGTTTTGACATGTTGGGATTGGCAACCAATGTCATAAAACAATATGTGTTTTAATTGTTTAATGAGAAACTAATTAGTTCCGTAAACTTTCACCTAAAGCACAATAAATAATAATAAATAAAAAAAGAAGGTCTGGAGAACTTCTCCCGATCCCTCTGAGAGGACTGGAGAACTGCACCAACTTTTACTGCTTTGGAATTTGAGTTACTTTAATTTCTGAGTCAACTCAGAGGACTAGTGTTGAAAGTCTTCCTAAAAATCAACTTTCTTAATTGTAAAATGTGAAAAAAATATAACTAGACCTGCCTTGGCTAATCAGAGACTATGACTATTACCAGGTCAACTGAGAAGACACTGAATCTACTTGATATTTTCTCATTTTCATTTGAGTGAAATAACATTACAGTGATGAACTCTAAGTATATATTTAGAACAAAAAATTCTGTAGTGGATTATTCTCAAAGCATCAGGAAATATGTAGGAAACATCACAAGTTGATGTGCATGTTGATAGGCACATCAGTTAGTAAACGTTCCAGATAACAATTTCATCTTTGAATGACTCTCTGGTTTAACAAGATCCTTATAGACCATGGTGTCCATCCCCTAACCAGTGTTTGCACCTCTTCTGGCCCCAGGACTGCGAGGCATGATGCTGTCAGTCATGTTGGCCTCCCTCGTGAGCTCCATGACCTCCATCTTCAACAGTGCAAGCACCGTCTTCGCCATGGATCTCTACACCAGGATTCAGAAGAAGGCATCGGAGAAAGAGCTCCTTATAGCTGGACGGTGAGAGAACTCTAGTTTCCACCTGAAATTTATCTGGGAAAGTGCAGATGTAGAAGTGAATTTGAGCCACCTCACCTTTGTTTCCAGTGAAACTCATATAGAATTCTAGAGTAGGGGAAAGGACATTGTTGTTTGGTTGTTAGCTGCCATTAAGTTGCCCAAACTCATTGCGAGCCCACGCACAATGAAATGAAACCCTATCCGTCCTGCATCATGCCCATACCCCATTGCAGATCAAACCATTGTGTTCCATAGGGTTTTCATTGGCTGATTTTTCAGAAGTAGATTTCCAGGCCTTTCTTCCTAGAAAAAAAATTAGAAGACATTTAATTGAACTTTATGTCTTTCCAGATAACAAACATTGGGTCCATACCTTTAAATGAAATAGTTTCTTTTTCAGACTTTAAATGCTTCTGATTGTCTCTTACTTCTTCCTTTCCACACCCCCTCCCCACAAAGACATCTTCACAATAATTGGTCAGTGTTTTCATGGAATATAAAATTCTCACCTACTCTGATAGATTAACGTATTACCTCTAGAAGTTTCCATGTATATCACATGAAAGTGGTAATAGATTAAGTCATCCACACATTACCACACGGCAGTTTATCAAGTGCATTCATTAAGAATTGAGCCAAGCTAGAAATGGACAGACTCAGAGAAGGGACTATTTTCAATAGTCAGCTTATTGAGTTATGTCAATCCAGGGGGCCCTAAGCAACCCGGGGGCCCTGAGGGCATCAGGATGGACTGGAACAACAAAAAGGATGGATGGCATATTCTTCTTTTTCCCTTTCATAATTTTCAAATAGACCATATGACGTCATGGCATTTTGTAAAATGTTTTTAAAAGCTAAAGTATAGAACACATACAGAAAACATGCAAAGCATAAATATATACATTTATCACAAAATGAGACCCATGTAACCATAAGTCAGGTCCAGATATGGAAATCACTAGCACACAAAAGCTGCCTTGGGCTTCCTTTTTTCCAAAGCTAACCACTATGACTTCTAACACTATAGTTTTTTCCAGTTCTGGACTATGTATAAATAGAATAACTCCAGATGCATTCCCTGCTGTCTTCTTTCACTCAGGTTGGGTTGGTGATGTTCAGTCATGTTGTTGGGTATAGCTGTAGTTCATTGATTTTCTTGCTGGATGGTATTCCATTGTAGGAATATATTACAATTTATCCATGCTGTTGTTGATGGACATCTGACTATTTTGTAGTTTGGGGCTGTTACAAATAATGCTGCCTTGAGCATTTTTGTCTGTCTCTTGGTGCACATGGGCACTTATTTCTGTCAGGAAGATTGCTAGGAGTGTGCATGTCTTTCGCTTCCAATCTTTTAAAATCTAGTCACTCTGGCTAGAAAGGAACGTGGGAAGAGATCTTAAAACAAGAGAAATCAGATTATGATTCTTGCAAAAATGCTCATATTTATGGTAATATTAAATCTAAATGTGATTAAAGTACTAAAAGTATGAATACATCGTTTCTCCTTCTGGGCTTTCTTTTTTTTGGTACTCTACTTGTGTGAATTGTTTATAATGAGAATGTATGATTATGTACTTGTGGCTTAGCACTCGAAGCTTCTTTCAGTGTTTCCCCATTGGGTGGAATGGAAGCAGAAGCCCTGCTATTCTTCCCATAACCTGGAATCTCCCCGTTTCCCATGGCTCATTCACTGAATGAGGTAGCCTAGGCAACCAGCCTCAGTGGATCCAGCACAGGGGCCGTCTCAGTACAGTCCAGAGTACAGTGTCTATGAAGACCAATCTTGGAGGAGCCCTGCCAGCTTTTCAGTGAAATGGGGTGTGAAGAGAAATTGACAATTTGCTTAGAAGATTGTACTTTCTTGGTGATATTTAATACAGTTACAATTACTGTAGTAAATTAAACACTTAGGGGAAAATTCTCAAGACACCTCCTGATCTCAGCCTTGACTCTGGAAAAATGCTACCGCAAACAGAGAACTGTAAGGCATCTGTGTTTCTGTGGTAGACAAAATGATGGACTGGAATTCAGGAGGCCCAAGATGTAGTAGTCCCACTAATAGGTATATGATATTGGGCACTGTCTTAGTCGTCTAGTGCTGTTACAACAGAAATACCATAAGTGGATGGCTTTAACAAAGGGAAATTTATTTCCTCACAGTAAAGTAGGCTAAAAGTCCAAATTCCGGGCGTCAGCTCCAGGGGAAGGCTTTCTCTCTCTGTCGGCCTTCTCATCAATGTTCCCCCAGACTAGGAGTTTCTCTCCACAGGGACCCTGGTCCAAAGGACACGCTCTGCTCCCAGCACTGCTTTCTTGATGATATGAGGTCCCCCTGTCTCACCGCTCACTTCTGTCTTTTATATTTCAAGAGATTGCCTCAGAACACAATCCAGTCTTTTAAATTGAGTCCTGCCTCACTAACACAACTGCCGCCCATCCTCCCTCATTAACATCATAGAGGCAGGATTTACCACACATGGGAAAATCACACACCACCGGGAATCATGGCCCAGCCAAACTGATACACACATTTTGGGGGGGATGTAATTCAATCCATGACAGGCACAAATCCTGTTTACGTCTCAATGGTAAATTAATGACTCTTTTTTTCTCTCTCTCTCTTATTCAATACCTATCATCTCCAGGACACAATTATAAAAAAAAATTTCCTCCTTCATGGTAGTTATGCTTTGTGGGGAGATAGATGATAAATGTGTGCTACATCAGGTGGGAAGAAGTATAGGAAGAAAATGAAAGCAGGACAGGAGGATAGTGGCTACTTAAGACCCAGAGTCCTCCCTGAGGAGGAGCATTTGAGCAGAACCCTGAAGGAAATGCAGGAGAGAGCCCCTGGGCTCTCTGGGGAAGGAACTGCCTACAATCCTGCAATAGTCACATACTTGGCATGTGTGATGGTTAAGATTGTGTGTCAACTCTGCTGGGCCATGATTCTCAGTGTTTAAATGTGATCACTCCCATGATTGAATATACTGTGAATAGCCAATCAGACGAAAGGGAGTTTCCTTGGGGATGTGGCCTGCATCTGAATATAAGCAGACATTCTGGCTTTTTGCTCTCTCTGGATCCTGCAGCTGCCTCCTGTCATCTCGTCTCTGGTTCTTGGGACTTGAGCTGTCAGCTTATTTGTCAAACTTGGGATTCATCAATCTTCACGGCCTGTGAGTGGAGCCTTGCTCTCTGACCTGCTGATCTTGGGTTTGCCAGCCCCTGCAGCTTCTTGAATCAGGAGAAAACCTGTGGTCTTGCCTGCTGATCTTGGAATTCGTCAACCTTCACAGCCTGTGAGTGGGAGCCCTGCTGTCCGACCTGCTGATCTTGGGCTCACCAGCTTCTATGGCTGGGTGACTTGGGAGAGGTCTATGATCCACAGACTTGGGACATTTTAGCCTCTACAATCTCGTGAACTGTTTCCTTGATATACATCTCTCTATATATATATTTATACTCTTTAGTGGTTTTGCTTCTCTAGAGAACCCAGCCTAAGACATTTTGGTACCAGGAGTGGTTCTAGAGAAACAAAATTGTAAGGATGAGTTTTCTAAATTGGTTCTCAAGTGTGGTTAGTCTTAAAGATGTTGATGACTCTGCTTCCAGCAGTAAAGAGGGCACTGCTAGTCCATGGCGTGAGGTGGCTATACAAATACACAAAATACCACCACCAGTAGATCAGGTATTGGTGAAAGGTGAGGCTCAGGGTGAACACATGTGTGATATCTTTCTATAGCTTTGTCAGAATGAGAAATATAATGAAGCTCGTTGGTTTGTCCTACTTTTGCTATATAAACTGGTGAAGGAAAGAGATGCACTCAGGGCTTCAGAGTCAAAACTCAAGTGCCGCATACATGACCTTAAGGCTTCCACTTGTACTTTGAAAGAAAGCCTTATTTCTTGTAGTAACAGAGCTGAAATTGCCAAAAACCAAACCCAGGGTCTTATTGTAAGAGTGGCTGAATTACAACGCCAGCTCAATTGCCAACCTCGAGAGCTGTCTGAAGTCAAAGGGCATTGATTGGGAAGAAATGGGATCCTGAAACTTGGGATGGGGACATATGGGCAGATAATCAGGAAGCTGGGGACACTGAGCCCATAAATTCCATTGAATCACTCCTGCCAGCAGAACCAGTTCCATCTGAAGAAGTTACTTCATGTTGTCTGCTAAACCATCCTGCCCAGAAAAACCATTAGCACCTCCACTCCCATCTAATGAGATTAGCTGTAACCCAGCTGCCTCTAAAGAGCCCTTCCCTGAGTCATTGCCTGGGGCATCGCCTGAGGCAGATTCTTTACAAGACAATGCTGAAATGTTCTCAGAACAATTCCACACTATCGATTCTGGCTTCTAGACCTATAACTAGGCTTAAGTCCCAGCGAGCCCCAAAAGGTGAAGTACAAAGTGTGACCCAGGAGGAGGTATGCTACACTCCAGAAGAACTACTTGAGTTTTCTAATATGTACAAACAGAAACCTGGGGAATATGTGTGGGAATAGCTATTAAGGATGTGGGATAATGGTGCAAGGAACATAAAGATGGATCAGTCTGAGTTTATTGATATGGGTCCACTAAGCACGGATTGTTCATTCAATGTTTCAGCTAGAGAAGTTACGAAAGGATCTAATAGTTTATTTGGTTGGATTGCTGAAGCATGGATTACAAGGTGGTCTACACTAAATTAAGTTGAAGTACCAGATTTGCCTTGCTATACTGTAGAAGAAGGCATTCAAAGGCTTAGGGAAATTGGCACGCTAGAGTGGATTTATCAAGTTAGACCCACAGACGCATACATGGAGTGCCCAGAGGACACACCTTTTACCAAAACTGTGAGGAACAAATTTGTGAACGGAGCTCCAATATCTTTGAAGACTGCTGTGATTGCTGTTTTATGTAAGTCAGATTTGACAGTGGGAACTGCCCTAACTGAATTAAGACACCTAACTACAATGGGGCTGATTCGACCCTGTGGTAGTAGGGGCCAAGT